TAATTTAATATTTTGTATTATATTTTATAATGTACATATATATTTCTATATATATATTCATTATTTTTTATTTATATATTTACTTTAATATTGTATACATAATTATTGTTATATGTAAGTATGTATAAGTTTTCAAATATACCTATATGTTTAGTGTTTATTGAATATTCTGATTGTGAGATTTGTTATTTATTACACTGGTACATTGCCTATTTATAAAGGTTTAAATCACCTGCTACTTTCATCTCTGCACTGCTTAAAGGTTGACTGGGAGACAATGCCCAAGGCATTAAGTCCACCTGTACACACTTGTTGTATAAAGTTGAAATAAATAAATAAATAAATCAACAGCCTATAAATGCCCACGGCTGAGCAAAGCCTCTTCTCACACGGAGAAGGTTTGAGCATTAATCACCACGCTTGCTCAATGCAGGTTGGCGATTACAAACTTATAATTAGAAATTATAAGCCCAGGTTTCCTTACGATGTTTTCCTTCACCGTTTGTCAGAAGAATCTAGATAATCTTAGAAAGTACATATAACTATGAAATTGGTCACATTGGTTGCCGTTGGTAGGTTTCGTACCCGCACCCTCATGCATGAGATGCGGGCGTCTTAAACCTCCGGGCCACCACGACCGTTGGCCACCACGACCGACCGACTATGAGACTGCTTAACACTAAATATATTTATTACTTTAAACTGCACTTCGCTGTTGTAGTCAGTGATCAGTAATGATCAGGATAAAATAATTCTTCTACTACAGTCGGGTAAAAACATAACTAAAGAACGTTTTTGTCGCAATTTTCATTTTCATACAATAAATGATTTTCAATCAGACTCGCTCGATTCACAGAAGAAACTACGATCTACCCTCTAAAACGAAGCTAACTATTTAACATGCAAATGATCTTAGATGTCACTCAAGGCCATTACACGATAAAACCTTAACCAATTCCTTTAGAACAATTCAGCTAACAGTCCCAAACGACAATATAATTTAACAGATAGCAGTAATTACAAAGAAATCCAATACGTTGATGCCCTTAGCGAACAAGATTAAGGTGATTACGGTCGCTTACCATAAATCGATGTGGCTCGTTACCTTAACGAGAAAAAGGCAAGTCACTCAAGATCAGCTGTTTGACTCAGTAATTATGATGCGCAATTTAACACGGAGCTCGTTCGAGCAAGGAGTTTTGGAGGAGATTGAAAAGCGAATAATTGTGGTACATTCAGTTGTTTCTGAATAATTGAATAACTGCTCGTAATGTAACCATCCATACTACTTGTGAAGAATATGTACAATCTCTTGAAGCTGTAAATGAATTCAACTATACAATATCAATTTTTTTTTATATACATGGTGGGCCGACGTTTAGCCACTATCTCGCCTCGTGGTAATCGATGATGCAGCCTACGGTGGAGCACGCCTGCCCATAAGCTACCTATTCACTCGGGCCTTGAAGATACCCAGGTTCAGGAATACATACATACTTAAATAAATGTATTTAAGTACTTGCAATGGCAAGTTATACCGCATTATCGTTTGCCATGGCGAGATAGTGGTCAAACGTCGCCCCTTAAATACAGAAAAAAAGTTAGAAAAAGTTAAATATGAGCTTGTAAAATAGGATAATAATATTATCATTTCGAATGACTGTTTCCTGATCAAGTAATCATTGTCGTTAAAAAGCATATTAAAATTGCAATTAAAGGATACATGTAGTACTGAAAGATATATTTAGCCTATCTTCATTGACAGACAGATGTCCATCTGTCATGTGAATAATCCATCCGGACAATTCAATTTTTGACGTTTCAAAAGTGTCTATTTAATTATTATTGAATTAAATGCTTTGACATTGATTTTGCTTATTTTGCCACCCAGCTAGTCAAAAGCTAAATATTAGAACCTAGATCGAACTATGTAGTATCGAGTCACTGGCTTTTATATAAAGTTTTCCAAAGCAAAGGTCAAATACTCCTAGTGGCCTAGACTATAAAACTACAACATCACAGGTGAAGGTCAAATATCGTCGCGAATCATCAAAATCACTCTTACTTCGAGTCACGAAGTTTGCAGTGATTTCGGAAAACCATTGTTTAGTACCAAGTACTTACAATCGTGACTAGCCTCCAAGAGAGACATTACACTTGACCTGAATTTCTATTTACTCGTGCGTTCATAAAATAAGGATAATAATATGTAAAAGAAATATGAATATTCCAAAACTAATGAGAAAAGTAACGAGGTTCTCATTTACTGCCTCAATTCCTTTTAACGTGGGATGATAAAATGTAGAATCGAAATATTGTAGATATATGTATGGATGGTTATTAAGTAACATAACATAACATCACGCCTTTTGTCCCCGAAGGGGTAGGCAGAGGTGCACATTATGCCAATGTAAAATGTAACGCCCACTTTTCACTATTTATATTATGAGTCCTATGTAATAGGGGGTGAGCCTATTGCCATATACCGGGCACAGTTCCAGTCTCCGTGCTACTACTGAGAATTTTAAAAAACCCAGTAATACGTTGCCCGACCCGGGAATCGAACCCGAGACCCCTTGCCCGGCAGTCGCACTTGTGACCACTCGGCCAACGAGGCAGGCAGGTTATTAAGTATATGATTTATATACATAGACATTAGTAAAGTAGTGAAAACAGTTATAAAAAAAAATTTTTGACTCGTATTAGCCAGGAAATTAGCTCACCTCTTTTTCGTATTAAAATATTCATAAAAGTTTGTCCTGAACACTGATTGAGGCAAACATTACTGATCAATCCCCAAGCGATCACCGGTGACCGCTCTCCACTAACTCCATTATAAACCTTATTTCAGATGTTTAGAGACTACTTTCGTATAAACAAATTTTGAGGTATTTATATCAAGATGAAAAGTAGTTTTTACTAGTCATCATTTATCGTACTTCGAGCTGTACACTAAATCGTCCTTTCTCCATGTGAAAAGTCTTTTGCAAAGATATGCGATAGTAAGAGACTGATTTGTAGACTATTGTCAAGAGGTAGAGGTCATAGGAGACCTTATTCCCAGCAATGGAAACATTGAAACTGATTTTGAATTTAATGCAAAATTTTGGCTGTTAGGTCTTTACGCACTAATTCACAGAACACGACAATCCAACTAGTTTATCAGATGTACATACAAGTCCAATTAAACATATAAAACTAAACGATTCAAATGTTTTACTCTAAACAATACCAGACATCCCAATTAAAATCTTATTACACGAGGAACAAAGTTTTATTTTGTATACCACCGTCACGCAAGAACAAATTTCGAACAATGTTCAGGTTCATTATTTTCTAAGTAATTACGGTTCCCACATTCGTCTTGCAGAAAATGTTAGCTTAACGGAAAGTGCAAATTTTAATACAAACATTGTATGGGTGTTTGTATGTTGATTTGTATGAGAAGTAAGTACTGCATGGCTGCTTGCAATTCTAAGTAACATTAGTAAGGAATATGCATATTTTATGCATGCACCGGTTTATTCATGAAATACAACGGCTTGAGGCAGTGGGTGAGCGATTTACTTAGAACTATAGCTAATCAATTTTCAAGCTCAAGATATAAGAATTTTTTTTATAGCATAAGCCGGTAATCGAGCAGACGGATCACCTGATGATAAGCAATCGGCGCCGCCCATGGACACTCGAAACACCAAGGCGTTACAAGTGCGTTACCGGCCTTGCCTTTTGGGAATTGTTCGTAGTAGAGTAGTTTTCATAGTCCCTTAATGAGTAAGCTTTTCGGACCCAATGTCCCACCTTGGTCGAGGCGAGCGACTGTTAGACCCTTACTGTTAGTCAGTCACATAAAGCACCGCGCCGCGCTACGTCTCCTAGTTCTACCCTGGGCCCCGGTAACCCATTAAGTTGTCCGCAGCTAGTACATGAGTAACCTAACACAAGTTAGCTAAGGGCACATATCACATAACATCACATAACGTCACGCCTTTTACCCCAAAGAGGGTAGGCAGAGGTAATGGCACTTAATGCCATTGTACAATGTAACACCCATTTTTCACTATTTATATTACGAGTTTCATGTAATAGGGGGTGAGGTTATTGCCATACACCGGGCAAAATTCCAGATTCCGTATTACTATTGAGATGTAAAAAAATGTAATTATGCTTTTTATAAACATAGTTTGGTATTGATTAATTTCAATCACATTTTGAAAAGTAAATATTTTATAGTGGTGGCACCAATCCAAGACTTGATGACATTTGAAAGCTACGGCTACTGGACCACAAAGCAAATGCAGCAAGGTTAGCTGGACAAAACGATCAATCTCCACCGCCACAGAATTCCACGTTCCTCCTTATTTATGTGACTTGCAGTCACCATAATTTCTCCATAGCCCATTCAATGCGGTCCGCAACCAGATTTAAAAGCAAGCGAGAGAAATATGGCTTTACTGCTAATTAGCTTAAGTCTTGCGTATGTAAATAATGCCCTACATAAAGTATTATAATTTATATTAAGTTAGAAATAGAAAAGCAATTCAAAGACTATTTATTTTATTCCTTAAAGGTGAGCTAGGGTGTTGTTTGCCCGCTTTCTAAATGAAAAAGTTAAAATACACCACGGCATTCTTTTAAACTATAAAAAATCGTCATGACTTCATTTTAACTAGTAAATAAAGTTCAAAGTAACGATTGATAATAGAAATCTTTTATTAAAAGAGACAGCTTCAACCTACCAAGTCGCTGACAGATCGATCGTGAGGTCATCCATAGTTCAAATAGCTGCCCTTATACAAACTTACTCATTTCTATCATCAACACTTTGATCGACAGTATACATGAAATGAACTACAAACAAATATTTATTGCTTTTTCCATAGATACAATTTTATAGATACCGAGAATCATAAATACCTACTCAAAAGAAAGTGAAACTTGTCTAGGCAGAATAAACATTAATAAAGCTATTACTAATATAGAACAATATTTTATTACAGATGCTGTCGACAGAGCAAAAACTATAAGAAACTAGAAACTTTATGATGGCGGATAAACAGTGTCAAGATTGCGACAAACTGGTATAAAGGGATGTGGAACAAGATTATATCGCGAAACCGCAGATCAAGAACACTTGAGGAAGTTTCGGAAGGAAATATTAAGAAAGACAGTACGAACGCAAAGAAATCGAAAGTGAAGCAAAAACGTGGGACACTACTTGGAAAAGTTATGGTTGATATAAATGTTAGTGCCGAAGTAAAAAGTTATGTTCTAGCACAAGATTTTATTGAATACGAAAATCATTCACACGTACGTCTAATAAAACGGATCGTCATCAAATCACATACGCGGTTAAGCCTTGCACCAATTCGCAACACTGTAATCTAAGATTGTTCGAAACGATCGACCAAAGGAAAATCGTTTTATCTTTATTGGCATCACTCATTGTTGGCAACACATAAAGAAAATATAACTGATGATTTACTAGAGAGAAAGCAAATAATATTTTCTATAGAAATTCTGCTGAAGATGTCAAAGACCTACTGTTCTCGAGCTTATTAAGTCATCAAAGCCAAGTATGCTAGCTTGTTAAGTAATTGAGTATCATCAGATTCATCACAATGAGAAGATAACATAATAATCAAGACGTAGTAATTGATACTTGCATAGACGTCTATTATTTTGTGAACAAAATTGTGATTTGCGGTTAAAAAGTTCTAATAGCTTTTTGTTCTGAAGTGGATTGTGAAGATGGAGACGAGACAATTGGATTAGCAACGGTAAATGTAATATTGCACGCCGTAACCTTTACAAAGGTTATAAAAATTGACGATGATATTATGAATCGTTATAAAGAAGTGCGTACTATAGCTGGTGAAAGAAAAAGTGTTATGGAACAAAGGAAAGTGATACGAATTTTTGAAGAAATGGAATGATTGGAAGCAGGTAGGCTCGGCGTTGGACAAATGTATTGGGCAGGTGAGTTTCTTAAAAAGATATTGTTTTAAAAACGAATGTTATTGATTGATTGATTAAAAGTCGCTAGTCAGGTCATTGCATTGACTTTAACTACCATCATTAAACTGTCAAACACCAAGCGGTCACCGGTGACCGCAACCTATTGTTCTTTAATTGTGTCTATAATGACGGTGCTCGACGAGTTAAGAACTGCCTTACATTACTAAAAGAAAAGTAAATTAAAGGAATTACAGAACCTAAATATAAAAAACTAAAAAAGTTGTAATATAACTAACATAACATCACGCCTTTTATCCCCGAAGGGGTAGGCAGAGGTGCACATTACGGCACTTAATGCCACTGTACACTTTTCACTATTTATGTTAAGAGTCCCATGTAATAGGGGGTGAGCCTATTGCCATATACCGGGCAAATTTCCAGATTCCGTGCTACTACTGGGATTTTTTAAAAACCCAGTAATACTTTGCCCGACCCGGGAATCGAACCCGAGACCTCTTGCCCGGCAGTCACACTTGCCACCACTCGGCCAACGAGGCAGTTGTAATATAACTATGTAGGTACAATAAATAACAGAGTATTATGTTGGTTGGTTGCAAATGTAATTTTACAATTCACTACTTACCCACATTCAGTCTATGCATTATAACAGCGTTAACAAGTCACGGCAGATAATTTAATAGAAACAGTTATTACTGATTATAAAAATATCCATTCCAAAAGAAAATTACACTGTGGTATTAATAAAACACAAGTTGAACTCACAAAATACTCATTCTTAGCCAATTATAAACCTGTTGACAAACTTATTGCAATAATTTCAGATGTAAGTTTCAAAGTAAGAAAAATTATTATAAAAATGGAACTGATAAATTACGTTATTTATTTTTTGAAAAGCCTCCCATTCCTATTTTGTCGAAAACCCATTTTCACATACTCACACATCAGACCCAGACCCGGAACAAAAATTTATAGATCACACAAACATATTTCCAATTTGCAAGGTTTACGAGGCAATTAAAGTGCTCTTTCTATCAAACATCGACTTCCAATTTGATAAAATACGCAATCATTGAAAGATTGGACCACCAACAGCCTGAGGTTTTTGTCATAGTTTCTCTAATTTCACTAAGAAGGCAATGGCTTTGCATTTCTTTGAGAAAAAAACATTGTTAGAGCTGTTACGTATCTGTGATCAAAGTTTGGGCAAATGATAAAAAGGGCTGTGTACAGTTTTTGTTTAAAGATTTGCAGTACTTTGTAAATTCGGTGCTAAGAAAAAAATTTGATTGACAGGTGAAGAAAGTGATTGAAAACAAAGACAATAGGGTTTGTTAAAATGTAAGGGACATAAGAATGTGAGAAGCAGATTTAGCGTTATTTGTTATGTAGCAGTGCGGTTTGTTAGCTTGATATTTTTGATATGAACTCATACAATATGATGATGATGTTTGTATTTATTATATGTGGTTCACGTCGGAAGTCTTGCCCAAAGTAGAAAAGTTTCTAGTATTATTATAAATTATGAATTTGATGATAAAAATGGGCAAACAAATTACATAAAGGTATTAAACGACCACCTTGCTAAGCAAATGACGGTAACTTTGATGCACTTTCTTAATATGTACAGGTTTTTCCAGTATTTTAAACAAAATACCTCTTTACTCCGTAAAGAAAACCATCCAAAATGCGAATTAAGCCAAAAAACGCAAACTTCAGAAACTCAAATGAGATAAAATTCTCAGTACCCGTCAGCTAACTGTGAATTTTGTTGCACGAAAGCGGCATATGCAACGATTTTATTGCTACACACAAAAAATACTACTCTCGAATATTTTCTACGAAAGCTTTTTTAAAAACACTACGTGTGGAGGTTGCTAAGTCTTATAAAGGAGGTTCTGTTATGTTAATATATTCTGAGCTCGTAATATTTTCATACTTATTGGCATTCCTGTGTTCACCTTTGCCTTCTGAATGGTATCATCGTACTTTTATATTATTTCGTCGTTTGCTACTGGTATGCAGTCATTTGAGAGTATTTTGTTATGTTAGTTTGTAATAGAGGCATTAATTTTGGCTTGATCTTGATGAAGCTTTTGAATATGGTAGTTTCTTAAATTTTATTTTTGTGTCCGTCGGTAGGTCTGGTAGATTATTTTGAAAAACATATTTTTGCGTTTCTCATAATATTAACCCATTAGAAGTCACTGTACCCAATTGAGTACAGCTATATCCCTAAGTACTATTTGCAGGTAAAGCATAGTTTACGTGGGTAATCTTATTAATTTGCATTGTTATATGATTGACCATATAAATTAACTTAAGTTTCGCCGGTAGTGTGACATTTTTTAATAAATAACGTCATTCGAAATTTTTCAACCGGAACACTGTGGAGGTAAGTGAATGTTTTTTTAGTTATTTTAATAATTATTGGATAAATGTTGTAATTTCTAAATAATTTGTGTAAAATATATATTAGAGTAACCTTTAACGAGTGCTTATAATAAATAATAGTAACTGTAAGTAAACTAGAGTCATATAAATATCGCTGTACTCGTTTGGGTACAGTGACAACATGTATGTGTAAAATAATATTTTTTTATTTCAGATTTCTTACAATGGAGAAACAGCTATTTACCGGCCAAAATAGCTTCAGGGGGCTTCAAGAAGCCATCGAAGCTGTCATACAATATAGTGATGATGATGACTGTGACTTAGCTATCATACCGCCTGAACCAAGTGCGTTGACTGATGACGAGGAGGGAGCTGATGAGGATATGACGACCGTATGCATGCCGCAAGACGTACCTGGAACCCTCGAGATATTTACGCATCGTGACAATAGTGTACACGAAGATAGCTCGTACGACGACAGTGACGACGAACCTCTGGCGTCAAAAAGAAAACGACCAAATTCTACCCGCGAATCTGTTTCGAACGTGGCTCCAACCTGGAGAAAATGTGCACCTTCATACTCTTCAGCTCCTCAGCGTACGTCTCAAGTCAGCGAAAAGAAAAATAATGTTTGTGAAGAACTGAAAAACCTCAACCCCGTACAAATATTTGAAAAGTTATTTGATGATGATATAGTTGACTTGATTGCATCCAATAGCACACTATACGCCAACCAACACAACAGACATGAGTTTGAACTGGTTCCTTGTGACTTGAAAAAGTTTATAGGGATTTTGATTCTTTCTGGCTATCATAAACTTCCTCGAGAACCGATGTACTGGTCTCTAGACGAAGACATTGGCGTAGAATTGGTCAGCAAAGCTATGTCAAGACATAAGTTTCGAGATATAAAAAGGAACTTACATCTCGTAAATAACGATTTAGCTGGTACGTCAAACGATAAAATGTTCAAAATAAGACCGTTGGCTGATAAACTTATGGAAAAGTTTTTACAATGGGGAGTTTTTCATGATAGTATATCTGTTGATGAATCAATGGTGAAATACTTTGGCCACCATCCCGCGAAACAATTTATTCGTGGAAAACCAGTACGTTTCGGGTATAAAAATTGGGTCGCGGCAAGTTCCACAGGTTACTGCTATTCATTTGATTTTTACTGTGGAAAATCTCAGTCACAGACTTCTGACCCATTAGGTTCTCGAGTTGTGAAAAGTTTGTTAGAGAAACTGAATTGTACTCCAGCAAATCATGAAGTCTTTTTTGATAATTTTTTTACGAGCTATGATCTATTGCTGGAATTGAAAAGCCTAGGTTACCGTGCTACAGGGACAGTAAGAGAAAACAGGACTAAAAAATGTCCACTGACTAGCACCAAGGAAATGAAGAAGAAGGAACGTGCGTCTTATGATTATAGATTTGATAAGAATGGCGAAATTTTACTGGTCAGATGGAAAGATAATAGTGTGTGTACAATGGCAACTAACTACGACGCTATTGAACCCTTTGGGACTGTGAAAAGATGGTGTCCAATAAAGAAAGACAAGACAGATGTAGCAATACCACGTTTGTTCCAAACCTACAATAAAAATATGGGAGGGGTGGATGAGCTCGATCAATCTATCTCTCTATACAGGGTTGCGGTTCACGGCAAAAAGTGGTGGTGGGTATTGTTTACTTACATGTTGGATATGACTGTTGCTAATGCCTGGCGTTTACACGTTATGAGTCACGATAACCCTATGGATCAACTGACGTTCCGCCGTCATATCGCACGATATTATTTACGCCAAGGACAACGGAAATCGCGTCAAGCTGCATCAATAGTCGAAGGCCTGCCTCAAGATGGGGTTGGACATTATCCCATGAAAATTGATAAACCGCTACGATGCGTAATTTGTCACTCGAGAGTACGTTGGCAATGTAAAAAGTGCGTAAAGACACTTTGCGTTGAGAAAAATTGTTTTGAAAACTTTCATACGTAGGCGGTCAGTGTACTCAATTGGGTACACCCCCCAAAATAACATAAAATCTAATTTTTTTTAATAATTATCTTTCATGTTGTATTTCTTATGTCTTTTTTAATATAAATATAAAAATAAATTGGAAAAAATATTTGTGGTTTTCATTTGACCTCTAATGGGTTAATGAAACATTTGGCACGTATTTTTTCTTTTATCACAATATTAAATACTTTTGACGATATTGTTAATTTGGAATATCATGTGACGTAACGACCGAACGAGAAAATAAAAAAATACGTGTCTAATATTTATTAATTATCGTACCGATGGATTAGACTTATATTTGATTTTTAGATAACTAGATTAGACCTAGAGACTAGATTTTTAGACCCTACAGCTGTTATATTTTAGGACTATGTAGATGGTAAGTGGCTTCATGTATTTTCACATAGTTTTGCGATTTGTTTAAAGTCTGGTATACAACATGTCGTCTAGACTTGAATCGAGTACGATCCTCTGCTTCAACGAGTCTTAAATATTTTGGCCAATCAATTAATTGTAAATAATATGATACATTTCTTTCATTGATGATGGTTTTATTGGTAGGGCTTTTAGGCATTTACATTG